TTTTTTTTTTTCTCTCCCATTATATATATATATATATATATATATATATATATATATATATATATATATATATATATATATATATATATATATATATATATATTTATATATTTTTTTTCTTGTTTGATTTGTTGACAAGTCAACGTAATTATATTACTGTCGTTGACAGTAAAATAACTGTAAACACAATAATATTACTGTCAACAACATTTTTTGTTTTGTTTGAGTTATTCACTGACTAAAGTAATAATATTATTGTCTATTATTGTAATATTACTGTAAACACAATAATATTACTGTGGTTGACGGTAATATTACTGTTGTTATAGTAATATTGCTGTCAACCACATCAATATTATTATTTTGTTTGGATTTTTTTGTTTGTTTGAGTTATTCATGGAGTAACGTAATAATATTACTGCCTATTATTGTAATATTTTTGTGGTTGACGGTAATATTACTGTTGTTATAGTAATATTACTGTCACTCACAGTAATATTAATTCTTTTGGATTTTTATTATGTTTATATTTGTTGAACGGTCAATATAGTAATATTACTCTATTACACAATAATAATGAGTTTTGTTGTGTTAATATTATTGTGCTAGATATTAATATAGCAATATTAATGTGTTAAACTGTAATATAGTTAATTTTATTGTGTTTAACAATAATATAGTTAATATTACTGCCAATCACAGCAATATTGTTGTTTAAACGAAAAAAAAAAAATGTTACAGAAAGAAAAAAAAATTGGAAAAGTCAACGCCGAGACCGGCGTTGACTGCGGGGTCAACGCCGGAAACTGGTGGTTGAAAAATCAGGAGAAAAAAAAAAGTCAACGCCGGAAACCGGCGAAAAAATTCGGAAGAAAAAAAAAAGTCAACGCCGGAGACCGGCGGTCAATGGCGGTGACGGACGAATTTGTCCATAAAAATATATTTTGGGTCAAAATTGAATAATTTGTGAAATTTGGGGTCAAATTGAGTTTAAATTAAATTAAGGATGAAATTGGAGCATATTAAAGTATGAGAGGCTATTTTAGTCTTTTACAAAAATTTGGACCATGTGTGGACTTATTTGTAAAGAAGTTTATTGTTTGGATCTGTTTATGAATAAGTACCCATTGATGAGCTTATTTGTAAAGACCCCCTAATTATATCTCTTATTTTTCAGTCTTTTTTTCTTTAATGACTTTCATTGCAAATCATATTTGCAAATGTGCTAGCAAATTAAATTCTAATCTACTCGTATATAGTTTTTTTCATTTTTCTTTTTATAAACAATTTATTTTGCGGTTAATATTTCTTACTGATAGCAACTAAATAGAAGTCTAGTGAGTTGATTAATTTATGCAATTTATGCCTTTTGTTGGGATTTGTATGATCATATTTATAGGAATATTAACGT